TAATGTTCCCTTACTAGGTCGGGAGTATCATCGTTACTTTCGACTTTGAAACCATGACTTCCAAAAATGCTATTCTTCTTTCCTACTTTCCAAGCCGATAGCTCACGGAATGCGAATTGACTGTACAATTCCCGTACCGTTGTAACGAAGCCTCGTTACAAAGCGAAATTTGTAAATACTTTAGCGATAGAGGAGAGGCGAAGATCGCGGTTCTTCATGCCGCGGACGCGTCGCGAACTTGGTCGGAATGCCCCCTACATTAAATCGCTATACGACCTCCTGGACATACGTCGAAGTCATAGCTAGCTAGCTTTTGCAATAACTCGCGAGCCACTGGTTCTTTTTGTCGCGTTTATGTTTTAGAAACGAAGCCCGGTACACAGTTAGGCGTCATCGTCGATCAATCGCGAGCGAAATACGAACGTGCCTACGATACACGTTCGTCTTTTCATGCATTAAGTATCGCTCGGTTATATCTCCGATCGTAAATCGACACTGTGAAAAGAAAGTTATTAATAACAGTTAGCCTACTTAGGGTCTTCTAGGTAGAAAATTCGAACGTTACTTATACCAGGATATGTAGAATACAAATTTTCACGCTCTTTTTTTTAATATAATATATATATTTTTGCCTTTTGCTTCTCTCGCTTTTATTCGTGCGAATTATTATATTTTCCTTGAAATCGATATTTACGTGTGCGCGACCGCCGGAAATTTTAAGTCTGCCTCGCATCTGACGGAGGATATTCGGCGACGGGAAAATCCGTTGATGTACATCAACGGTTTGTCTCGTCGTGTCGGTTCGTTTCTCATGATCAGCGCGGACATACGCGGGCTCGCACAACGTTGTTCTCTTATTTTCCCCGAGTGTGTCCCGCGGTAACCGGGCAGCAACATTGTTTTTCTCTTGCTTCTGCCCTTCTTCCCCCCTCGCACTCCTCGCTTCTCCTGCTCTTTCGCCATCTATCTGACGACTGGCTTTTGGGATTCCTTTTTTAATACTCGGACACACCGAGGACCTTTTACCACGGACACGTAGGGGCCCTCTTGTAATGACCGCAACGCTCCAATGCACTCGGCGTCCGGAGCTGCATAACCGGATGCTGCAGAGCGGACGCGTAGGATGCATCTTGCAGAAGCGTATATCCATCTATCGTTCGCTGAATCTCGTTGACATTTCATTCTCGGTTTTTTTATTGCTAGCACAAAGATTGGAAATATATTTGTCGTGTTTTTCGTTAAAAATAATGAATATATAACAAATAAACGAATCTAAATCTATACATGTAAAATTACGTCGATGTAATGATCGCATCGAAATGTAAATTGTATGTAATCTTGATTTTACAATTTCGATTATTTCTCTACGGTTATAAGTTACGATTTTATCCATCTCAATATTTTCTCGCGAAATGTGACAATTGATATTTGATAGTGGTAATATCCGTTCCTTTCTTCGACTGATGTATGTGAAAATTCATAAGCGTTTGTCCCGATCCATTAGTTCGCCTCTCCCGCGAACGCGGCCAATAATTCGTTGACAAGAGCGGTAATCTCTCCGGGAGAGATCGAGAATCATCTAGTCAAATACTGACGGGAGGAGCGCTAAATCAGGGAAAACCTAGGGACACTCGTTTTGGGTCTCGGGGTTGCCCGGAAGACAAATGTCAGCGGAACGTGCGGGGCGGCTTGGCTCTCTCGGCCTCTCTTATGCGTGGAGATGCACGGTCTGCGGCGGTAAATCAAGGGTGGTGATATTAAAAGGCCGCTTATACGCGAAAACATAAGATTTATTTCTGCTGGAGAGGAATGCGCGCGCGAGAAGGAGCGGGATAAAGGCGGTTCGTTTCGTCGAACGAGCGTGAGTGCGCGAGGAGCGAAAGGAAGGCCAGACGAGAGAAAGACGGATTATATCGGAACGAATTTTTCTTGGCCCGTATACGTACGTGCGCGAATAGAAAGACGAGAGTAGAATCCGGGCAAGATAAAGTTACGTACACGCATCCATGAACGAATGACAACGCCTGTCATCGAGTTTGGGCCAATATTGCAATGCGAGGGACAGAGAAAAGAATGAAACAGAATGTATAAGTAAATATAAATCGTATAAAATGTAAGAATAAATATAACTCGCAAAAGAATGCGACATTTATATGTAATTGATTTTTTAAAATACTTTTTTTTCGATTCTAAGCCCGGTCGTATAATATTTGTTGTAATATTATGTGCAATACATATTTTGCATTATTTTTTAAAATAGAATTATAGTAAAGAATTATAGTAAATACAATATTATAAAGTATAGGAAGAAGAATCGCCGTCGATATTTAATTACATTAATGAATTCGTGTCGATGCTTCTCAGTTTCATCAACATTTCAGCACATTTTCTCCTTGCATTATTATAATCCGGTTCTCAGATTGTATCCGTGTAATGATTCATTTTCTTTTGCAAGGACTGGCCCAGTACCGGCGCGAGATTCGGTCGTCTCGGTTGATTAAGGCCATCCACAATGATGCTGTCACTAGGTTCGTTCGTGCATAGAACAGGATATTATGCACCGGTATCGAACAATATAAGTTGCCGACCACAATGACTCGGCTCGACTGTTTTTCCCCTGTCGAACGATCCGTAACTCGTTCGTTCGGACCTTGCCGCCGCTGTATGAACGCCTTCGTTAATTCTTTCGCTACCGAAGTCTCTCGACTAACAATTCACCATGACTGTTCTCTGTATGTCAGGAGCAGTTATAATTGCTCAACTATAACTGACATTCCTGGGCCTCGCCGAGCTCGCACGTTTTTGTTCGTAGTTCTCTGTTCTCGAGTTTTTTTTTCTTGTATATAAGCGAAGATATATGATTCAAGCTTCTTAGAAATACGTCACCTTGATCCATTGCCAAAGATGCGATTTTTTTCCCGAACGTTTTCGTTTGCACACGTTACGTGTGTCCGATTGCATCCCTACGTCCGCGTCGTCCAAAGGCAGGAAAGTCCGGCAACCGAGAGAATCCTGTTTTCCTCCTCCATCTCCGCGATCTCCGGGGAGCAATAATCGTTGCGGGGCGGAAAAATTTCGCGACAGAAGTTAAACAAAGCCTCGAAGCAGAAATAAAAAAGCGGGGACGCGGGCGAGAGAGAACAGGGAAGAGAGAGACGGAGAAACGGAGGGACATAGTAGAAACCGGGGGGTGTCCCGGCTACGTCGGCTACGACCGTAATAAGGGTGACCACCTCCCTCCGCGGCTCCATTCGCTCCTGCCGCGCGGCGTTCCTCTGTTCTACTGTTTGAACAAGGCTCATAATTAATACGCGCATTCGCTTCTGGAAAACGCGGCGCTCGGGGGGTGCCCGGGGTACGCGGGGAAAGGGACATTTTTAAACTACGGCTTCGGATAGTCGCCTTTCCGCAAAGCGCGTCGATACCTCCGCGAGTTCTCCGTTGGGCTGCTCCGATGTATATCTCTGATATTTTTCATCTCGTTTTAAGGTTTCCTTTTGTGGAGCGTATCGCGAATCCAGGATATCGTTCTCTGGATTTTTGACGGTAAATTAGTTGCTCGGATTTAGATTTATCCTGAAATATATATGGAAACAAGAGAGATTCTTAAAGATATATTTTTGTAAATATTCTATAATTATTAATAGGATTTTTAATTTGTAGTTTTGATAAAATATATACTTTCTTCTTTAGATTAAACTTTGCGGTATATCTGAATTAAATGTTTCATAATTATTCTTCAATTGATCTGATCTTTAAGACCGGATTCGTGGAGTAATAAAATTAGCTCGCAATTTTTTAATCGAATTACGTTTGATTTGTCTCTAGATTTTTTCTCGCATCACGTATCGTGACACGCAAATTCAAAAAGATTTCCGTCTATTCCCCGTGGTAGAGTCGCATGACAGCGTACCTGGCTCGCTTCGCGAGAGATATCCGTCTTTAAGAGCATTATCTGGATGGTCGTCGGCTAGGGGGATGGCAAAAACCATCCGCCCCCTTGTGGTATGTGAAAAATGATGCACAACCCCGTCCCCTAAACATCACCTCCGGAAAGTCCCGAAGGAAACGTTCGCCGTCGTCGTTCTCGTTGTCGTCTTTCTGGTTCGTAATCCGTGAGATCGTGTCACGGACGGGCTCGCATTATCGAGAACATTTAACTCGCTCGCAACTACGTAGCTACAGAGACTTTGAAATTTTTCAAGTGGATCTCGTCATACGAATAACAGAACCCAGAAGCACGAAAATTTTTCCATAATAATTACACTAGATATAGTATTGCAAATAAATTGTAATCTATATTAGTTAAATAAGATTAAAGATGTGAATTATAATCGGATATATGCGGATAAGGACGTTTGACAATTATAAAAATAATATTATAGTTCGAAAAATTGTTACAAATTTATAAAATAGATCTTGAAGAGCTTATACATTATTTTATTCACACGATGCGCCTAAATTATTTGCGATGTTGACGATGTCATTTCTGATTTAATGAGTTTATACTTAACGTTCTCGTGTATATTTCTTGATTCCAGATACGCAGAGATCTATTCGAGAACGCCACCGGCAAGCATCCAGAACGCGTCGCTCCTTTGCGAGGAGCATAAAGGATTCCTGCATACGCCCAGAATTAACAACGAACTGTAAGTACCCGTTGTGTATACCTTCCAGAAAACATTTGTTTGAAATACATGTTGCACGCCTTGTTACACACACACGCGCGCGCGAAGCCTGCGGAGGGGAATCGTATTTCGGGAGGGAAATAAAGTCAATCGCTTGAGGGACACGGAGAGTGGCTCTCCGTGGTTTCGGGAGCATTTTTCCTTGACGGGAATTTCTCGAAGGACACTATATTATAAAGCGAAAGTGCGTGACCTCCTGGCACGCCTTTCTCTCCTTCTCCGTGCCTCTCCGTTCTCGTTCCTCGGCCCCTGTGACGTGATGGATACGCGAAAATGTCACTCGCACGCCCCCGGGGCCAACGCGCCATCCAACATCCCCCGACCATTATGCTAAACCATTGTCCACTATCTGCCTAAGATAGCCGGCGGCTTAAGTCGTCCGCTTTTCCACCGTCTCGGCGAGACCGTTAAAAAATCATTTTTGCCATCTTGTCCCTTTTCTCCCCTTCCTCCCGCGATGGCGATTCTCGTATCTGTCGGGAGTATCTGTCGCGAATATTCACTGATTTCTTCCGTAAATTATCAGTTTATCACGTTACAGTTACGTTATGCTTGAAAATGCGATTGACCTAAATATGACGTACCATGTTCCGTCGAAGTGACAAAGAGTAGATTACTCAAAATTTTTCGCAGTACATCTCTTGGTTTCTACCAGACGCTACTAGTTTATCCTACATTTAGTTCTTATGTTTTTAACACTTAGTAATACTTAGCCATGTCTATATCATTTTTATGTATCGAGAATATAAGATTACGTCGACGGATTATTCGGGTTGAAGACGATGCGATAAAAACGCGTGCCAGAGAGAGGGGAAATTCGTGAAACGCTGCGTAGTCTGGCGTAGTATATATTTTTTCTACTTCGATTTCTCCCCTCTCTTCTCCTCCTTTCATCGTCTCTCCTCGATGCATCCACCATTATTCGGGCGTTAGGCAAATACACAGGAGAGACGACAAGCTCGTCCGCGCGTTTTTGCCCCCGTGAAAATTCAAATGAGACCGCGCGGCATATTGCGCTGAATCGAAATTAATGTCGCGCAACTAATTATCGGTCGAGTCATCATCGTTTCGTGCCGTTCGGGGCTTCTCTTTCGTTTTCGTATTGCGCGAGTCGCGTCGCTGTATAATTGTCCATCGTCCTGCCGAGGGACAAACGATCGCGCCAAATTACCGTCTATATCGCGCGGCTCCGGCCCGGCCCGGCCGTCTTAATCGCGCTTGATTGATCGATCATTGATACATATCTCGCATGGTATATTTTTTTATCGATCACTGTGAGATGTAAATTGCGAAGAGTAATAGCGAATAAGTTTAGAACCGCTAAAGTGCTTTTTTACATCGTTGCGCAGTTTATTCGTGATTAATGTTTACGATTATATAAATTTTACCAGATCAATTAATAATAACTCTTGCGATATCGTATATAATCTCGGCACTGCTCCAAGGATAGACAGTTTCGAAATTATGGATATTAATAGCGCAGCAGTTCGCGAAATATTATTGATTGCGTACTAACGCGAGATTCTCTCGCGATACGAGGTTCAGGAACCATGCCAGGATCGAGCGAACAATTGCAAGGGCAAAAAGCTGGAGCCGTGGCACAGCAAGAAATTTCTAATTTGCGGTATAATTAAGGGAGACGATGCAAAAAGCATTACGGATTCTACGGCGTTGTCGGAAAATCGCAAATTCCATCTTGCAAATACGTCTCTCGTCCAATCGTGCTTTCTCTCTCTTTCTGCCTCCCGCGCCTCTCTCTCTCTCTCTCTCTCTATGTATATGTGTGTGTGTGTGTGTATATATATATACGTATATATATACAGTGGATTAAAAAAATATTTGCACACCCAGTTTCATTATTACGAATTGTGCCCATAAGTAACTTATTGCATATACTGTATGTTCTTCGTACTTTTTCGTATTATTTTTTCGAATGAAATTATTGTAAGAAAACTGGATGTGCAAATACTATTTTGTTCGACTGTATATATCTCTTCCTCTCTCTTTCTTCCCTCGCGGTGTGTTTCTACGAATATTTCGTTATAAAATTTCTTTGTGCAAGTTTGCCTCTTGATTAGAATTACAGCGGAACATTATTTAATTGTTACAGATACAGTATAGTAACTGCGGAAGAATGGTCGAAGCTCATGCAATTCTACGAGGCCGACTATCCTATTATCATAAAGAAGATTGCGGATGACTATCAGACGAATCCCGGTGAGTACAGGTCCTTTTGTAGTACAAGAAATAAAATATTGCGATGGATTGTTCGTGATGTAGACCGTAAGTCGGTTTCAGCCGCGATACTTTTAAATATCACGATTTACCGCTACATAGATTTACTTTTTTTTTCACTTTGTGGCACTTTATTGTTGAACGATGACTCCAACGCACGTGCGTCGGAGATATTCGCCGATAATAACCGTGATATAAAAGTTGCGCTCGGTTCGGATCGCGTTTCAGCGATATATCTTATACAGATAAGCGGAGAACCGTACGTGTGTGTCGCTACCATGAGCTTCCTACTCCGCCTCTTTCCCAACCTAACCCAAGGAATAATGCCAGAAGACATTAGCCGCCGATTTACATAAAACCCCCTCCCCTCCGCGTTCCCGTCTTCTCAGTTGGCTTCTCTTCTCCAGGCCCCAAAGTGTCTCATTATAATTAAGAAGTATCCTGAAAATTAACTGGCAGAAAAAGCAGCGCCACGCCGCGCCGCGCCGGGGATACGGCGGGTGAGACGACCGCAAATGGCCCTCTCAAAAGTTTCTCACCCTCCCCGCACCCCCGTTTCACGCGACGTGCCGTCCTCGGAATGTTTACTTCTTCGACGTCTTTGTTTCGTCGATCTGCTTTTCTTTTAATTAATTCTACAAATTTCATAAATTCTATAATAAGAATCCCACAATCTGTAGAAAGTACAATTATTCACGCAAACTCGATACAGATGGTCGGAATGAAGAATGGAGCGCGTACGCGCGTATGCTCTGAGGGGGCGATCGAGATTCATTCAAGTTCTTCGGGCACGTGTCGCGGCGCTTCCTTGGACGAGAGCGATCCTTGTCGGCCGTCTGGCAGGCAAATTGGGTTCCGACGGTAACACCCGGGGGACCGGTGATGCGAGAAGGAGTACGACGCTCAACGTCCTGCCTCGTGCTAGCCGCCGAAGCCCGCGCCGGCGTTTATCGTGTGCGCGAGGAACCGGGGATCTCTAAACATCCCATTGTCTTGTCCGTCTTTCGGTCGCGAGTGCGCCACCTTTTTTTTCCGGGGCATTTGTCAAGACGATCCTCGGGTTCCTTTAGAGCGACGGGAAGCTATATGCGGCCGCCGCTGCCTTCGCCGTCGTTGCCGCCGACGGCAACATCTGAATTGCAAAGACCTCGCCTCTCGTTGACGGCGAATCGAATGGCCCCGGTATCACCGGTCGGGACACCGACAAGTCCGCCGACTAAATGGAGATGTTTAGAGTTAAAACGACGATTTTTATGGGTGTACAAATGTCGAGATAATCGAGCTAATATGTATTCTCGTTACGCATTTAGCACTAACAGTTACTTGAGCATTAGTGTAAACGTAGAAGAAAAATCGAATGCTTAAAAAAAAGGTTTCTAAACATTTTTGAATATATCTCTTATATTACATTTATTACATGTCTATTTTCGCAAGTGTATCCCTAGCGTTCTTATCGAATTATCTTCACTGCTCGATGTCGATGATATTTGAGAACGCGAAGCGAGGAGGAATTGCGGACACAAACGGGCGACTTAGCTTATTTTGAGGACGCGCTTTGCGGGCAGGAAGGGCCTCGGGGTGGGCGCGGAAGGGAGAGGGACGGATTGCTAAGCGCAAAAAATGGGGGGTTGCTTTTGGTGACTGATACGGCCCTGACTAACGAGTCCTAGCCGGTTGTGCTACTCTTAAAGCCTCCAAGGATCTCCCCTTTTCTCGCTCTCTTTCTCCCCCTTCTGTCCACTGTCTCCCTCGATCGTGGAAGCACATTAGGCACCGTCCAACCTCGTATCAATCACCCGGTTACCCCCGATACCCCCGTCGCCAGACCACCCGCTCGCCAGTTGACAGAACCGGAGGTGACGCGATTGAATACCACCCTCTACGCCTCGTTGCTCCTCCGACCAGCTCGATGACGACGGCGATGCTGGAAAACCTAAGCGGAGGGAAAGAAATGTTGCCTCGTAGCTCGTTTGTTAATGCCTCGGGCCACAACTTGATGTGAGACGTCTTAATCGTTGGTTAGACCCCAAGAATTCTACGTAATCAAAGCTAATAATCTGCGAGATGTTTAAACAAATCAAACAGTGCATCAATTAATGTACGATAGAATTAATTCCGTGATTCATAAAGTCCGCTTTAAACCTGATCAAACGAATCTTATGAATTCTCCGTTCTTGTTTTGGACTTTTCAATTAAAACTCGAATTTATTATACCGCGTATCTTTTCTAATTCAATCTATAAGATAGATTTTTATTTTTACTTTTCGATAATACACATACATACACAATTATTATATATATGTATATAAAAATACTGTTCAACAATTTGGAAGAAAGTATGAAATTTCAAAGAAAGAGATTTCTTTCTGAATCGCGCGTCGATAATTATGTAAATCGCGTCTCGCGCGTCAATCTTCCGGAAGGCCGCCTTACACGCCAGATCGAAGTTGATTCTAGAAACGCGAGCGGCGTGTTGCCGCTCGCCGTTTCGTTTCTTCGAAACGTCGCTCGTAAATATCGCTTAGGCGCCAGGCGGCACCACAAATCAGACGTGTTCATGGCGAAGGTATACGGCACTGGTTGTATCGCAAAACCGATGAGGAACGAGTGAGCAAGACCAAGAAAACCGTGCACGCGGGGCAGACAAACGGGGGCAGAAACCGGCGTGGCGGCGGTGGTGGTGGCGGCGACGGCGGTGGCGGGTAGGAGAGAGACCGGCCTCGAATTAATATTCGGACGGCGATTTAGATTTAGAACACGAATTTGCTGATTAGTTCCCTCCCCGAGAAATGCGGTCGCCTACGTTGCAGCGGACCGTCCGTCCTTCCATAAACGTGCGGCTAGGGCGGGGGCCTGGGGACGGGCCTGGATTCGAGATTTAGTTTCCTGAGGGGGTTGAACTTACCAAGGGGTCAAACGATTCAGGAGAGACATTTGTTAGCCCCCTGTCCCCACCCTGCGACAAGTGCGCCGGACACGTCTTAATATATACATCCGCTGACCAATGAACATGCCCTTATGAGCAGCGCTGCCGTGCGGTCAAAGTCGCTGCACTGTAGTGGATACTGACTTCTATATTCGGAATTTTTTCGCTCGAAAACTTACAGGCCTCAGGATGCTGCCATTTGATTAAGAGTTTATTTCGACGGACCTCGTTCGCCCGATAATCGCGCTTTCACTGAACGGAAATGAAACGCAATCGTAATAAATCATGCACGCGTTATATTAATATTAATAATACTGACTGAAGCAATCTTCAACTTCAACCTCAACTATCTTACGTATTAAAAGAGAAAACAACTTTACAATTAACTTCAAGCGCTCTACCACTGTTTAACTAACTAACGACGTCGGACTAACTAATTCTTTGCTCGTACTACTTATTTCATTTGCATCACTCTGAGCGAGAATCGTAAACTTATTTTTGGTCAACGCGACGATTGCATAGATACTTTCTTTTTTTTCGACGACCAATGTATAAGATAAGAAAAGGGAGGGCTTAGCGAAAACATTAGCGTGCGGGGAAACGGAAAAAGCAGCGTTTTCGCGTAATCGCGCAGGAAACGAGCAAAGTCGGGCAGGACAAATTTCGCAGGGACGAATTAGCGCATCCTGCCGCTGGGTCTCTCTCTCGGAACGCTCCCCCTCGCTGCTTCTGTTATCCCGAAGGAGATCCCCACTTGTCCGACCTACGGGGGGTCCTTTTCCTCCAGGATTAAATGGAGCGCCTAGATGACCGATGCTCGTCCTCCTCCGGCAGCGGTGGAGTGTGCGGAGCCGTGATGCGAGGGTGGAGAACAGGGGCGGGGGGGGGGATTGGGTGGAAAACAAGATAAAACAAGGATAAGGCTCGCTCTCAGATCCCCTCTTCCAACGACGTCCTAGGACCGCATCTTCCGATCCCGTCAGAAGGAGACCCTCGATAATCTGGAGGTGTCTAAATCGTCCATATCGCTTGATTTAAACCGCCGCGTTTGTCCGCCGTCCAAGTTTGTCCCCTCGCGTGGCAGAAAGTTTTCAAATGTGCGTACCTTCGTGCGTATTTCAATCGTTGTTTATTCCACTGTGTACGTAAAAGGGAGATAAAACGAAACGACTCGGCGCAGCAAAACATTAACACTGCTAATTTGTCTCGTCACTGCGTGACAAATTCTCCAGCTAAAAATTATCATCTTTGCGTTCTTTCGCCGAGTAGGTAATTCGAGAAACGAGTTTTAAACATATACGCCACCGAGGAAAACCGGAGCTCGTTAGTTACGGCTGACACACCTCCGTTGCGTGTTCGTCGCTCCGAATCCAGCGATTTGCAAAGTAGAGGCGAAACATCTCACGTTTAATTAACGAATTCGTTGATCATTCGCGGAGCACTTCATTTGCGAACGTCGCGTCGCAAGAGGCAGCGTCTCTCTCTCTTTCTCTTTCTATCTCCACGTCGCAGGGTGACAATCGCATTTTGCGGATTTCGGGAGAGACGCGCGTAATGCCGTCGAATGCCCTCGCTGCTGCTGGGCTCGGTGTCATCCCGTAAGAGGATTAGATCCTCGACTTTGTTGTGGCTCTCGAAGACGTTCGTTAGCGAAATCATTATTACCACGTCGATCTTCCTCGGCTACCCGCGACGTCGATGCTGCGCTGTTGGTGGCGCCTCTGCACCGAGTTACGTTTGAGAGATTCGACTTGATTTTAGCTGCCAATTACTGGCGCTCGCTAACGGGCGAATTGGTCCAAAAAATTACGAGCATCTGGCTAAAATCAAAATATTTATTTGTTATTTGTGTATAACATAACGGTTGCATCGTTTAATTATACTGTATAAAGATACAGCTGTAACTAGCTTATTAACATTATTATATTAAGCACAGTATTTTCATTGTTAGTTACTGCTAAATTCAATTAATTTAATAATACAGTTTACAAAGCACAAAGTCATTATTTACTCACTGGGGTTGAACAGTTCTTCTTTTCTCTCTCCCGGAAACTCCGAAGAATTCGAAACATATTTCGGGAAGGGTGAACGGTTCTCGTCGTCGAGTCACGACGGTTGGGGGGAACATCAATCTTTCATTCACGGGGTGACTCGGGAGTTATGAATGAAAGTCGGTTCAGCCCTTTTAATATAATAGCGAACCCGGTGTCTTTTCGCTTAACGCGCTTTCGATTTTGATCGAAGAGTTCGCCGGAGCGACTCGTGTGCGTCTTCTGACTTGGCTTCGAGATAATTCAAGATCAATATGTTTACACCTTTATCGCAAAAGATTTTATTCTTTCATTTGATTTTAGGAATCAATTCGAATTAAACGGATATATAAATAATCTAGTTGTACGGAAATTCCGAAGGGAATTCAAATCCCTCGATGGCGATCCGTAGTATCTCGTTTCAATTTAACGTCCGAATGTTAGCGCCCCTATTTCGTTTCACGATTCTTCTCCGCCCGTCCGCTAACTGTTCGCACCAAATGACCTCGTCCTACCAATTCGCCTACTTATCTCAACGTATCCTGTAATCACAGTGTAATTGCTTCCCTTGATCGATGATCGTCAATCGGCCGGAGTGTGATTAGCACCATGATTAGATGAGCACTTTGTTCGACTCGTCAATGCCGAAGAAAAGACCTGCCTGGACATCTTAATTAAATGTATCTAATTGGATAAGATCTCTCTCTAGCTACTTATGTGATACATTATTTTGATTAGCATTAGCCAAAATTAGTTTCTTTTTTTTTACTGTGTATGAAAGATGTACGAACTTGAAGTTTTAATTTACCTTAATTTAATTGCAACCAAACTTTGCAAAAAGAAAAAATAAAATGTGAAATATAATCTTGTGTCTATTCAAATTTCTTAAAACGCAGAGAGATATTAAAATAACATTGATATTAATAAAACTTTATTGATATTAATTTTATTGACATTGATATTAATAAAACTTCTGCTTACGATATTTGATATTTTATAACGATGAAAATTGCACTTATCGTATTTATGTATTTATATTTTAGGGATGTGATTGCGGCGTTTGACGATCGTTTGCCAAAAGTTTTACATCGCAGTACCAAGGAGTTCTTCCAAGAGCGCCTGGCTGTTTAACCGGGTCTAAATAAAATCCGAAGGCATCTGACTCTTCGTCGGAACTCCCGAAACTTCTTCTCCGTCGACATCGCGCAAGTTTCTGCTCCGTTTCGACGCTCTTTATGGTTTGATTGCTCTTCGATGGCACTTTAGGGAAATACACTAGATCTCCTCTGCATCGCCCTTTAGTCTTATACAAACCGTCGGACTTTTGTGTATTATTTGCCATAAAATCATCTCTCTGCCGATTTGCTCAGGCTTTCGTAACGCTCGTACGAGAGCCGTTTCGTTACTTCTGCACAGTATTCTTATGATGAAAAGCCGAGTTTATGTGAACGGAATGTAATTGATGATCGTACCTACAGTTTTCGCGTGAGGGACGACTGCCCGTTCCCGGTCGGCTGGAAAAGTGCGGCCAGCATTCTCGATAGGTAGGCACTCTGTTTGTAGTACGTCGGAAGAGATTTGCATTCGCGACCCTACGAATCTCTCATTAGCTTAAGCTTCCCGTATTTCCGATTAAACCCGATAGCAAACGATCCTATCGCACGGACATCCCCGCGCCGCGCCGGCGGCGGGTAATTAGGAATTCGACGGGAGGACCTTCGAATTCATTTGGCGTGCGGGTCCTTCCGTCCTATCCTTCGTTACCGTTGCGGGGAAATTAGCCGCTGCGTGAACGGAACGTTTCGTCGTTTTCAATCCGCCGCCGCCGTCTCCTCCCCCTCTCTCTCCGGTCGCGGCGACAGGGCAAACGATCAACATTTATTCCTCTCGTTTGCGAAATCTTCTCTCTCGCCGCGAGAAGAAAGTATATCGAACGACGACGCTCCGCGTTAATCTCCTTGACTCGTTAATGGGCAAATAGCTTCTTACAGCGTTCTCTTATTGGCTCCTATACGAGCCGGTAATTAGCGGTAACGCGGGGGTGGACGCGAATTCGCATTCAGCCGGGGTCACGATTCCTCCTCCTCCTCTCGCGCGTTTCCCACCGCCCCGGAAAACTGTCTGAACATGACGTAACGCTCTGAGAGTAACGCTCGGATACGAGCTTTGGCTCCGGACCGGCAGCCGAAGCGCTTTTTGTGCTGTCCGGCCAGCAACAATGGCCGCTTCTTACACCACCCTGGTCACCGTATATTATTAATTACTGTATTAATCTCACCGGCCGTAAGCAATCTATTATACATGGGATAAGAGCCACCACCGACAGCGCCACCCAACCCGCCCGGAGCGCGCACCCTCTAACTTGACTTTCTAACTGCCGCCGCGCCGTCCCGCGTCCCGGTCTTCTCTCTCGACGAGGGCTCGATGAGGCCAACGAAATCTGACCCCCGGGGGTGTTAATAGCGGCGTCGCGTCGAGCCGCGTCAGGTTTAAGTTTCTGTATTGTCGCGAAGATCGCGGTAATACTTTCTTGCGTTGATGCATTATGATATAAATCTTATACGTAAGAGTTGTTAAAATATTAAAAAGAGAAGAAGGTACTATCAATGAATTTCTAGAAAATATTTAATGCTTTTAAAAAATAATAGATATTTTTAAACGTAACATTGATCTGCTTGAAACCCATCGAGCGTCAGGAAAGTCTCCTATTGTTTCAGGTCCGTGCGCAGCCTGCATGTTAGCAAAGATCGAACAGGAACGTCTAGAAAGCTTGAAATACGAAAGAGCGACAATCTACGTCAAATGTATCGACGAAAACGAAGAATCTAAGACGGACAACGATTACGAGGTAAGGCAAAAATACCTTAAATCAATTATTCAATAAATTGTGATACAAATGAAAGTTATTGACATAAATTGATCATACGATCAAGAAGACAATTAAAAAATGCGGCATACATTACCGGATAATCGTCACTTTGGCATCAATTTCATAACATACAATTACGTACAATTTTTTATGAGATAATTAATATGATTTATACCGCGATCCGTTATTACTATAACGTTTTTTTTTACGTGCAATATAGTTAGAAATTGAAAATCTTATATCGTGTATATATGCATGAACGAGTTATATCGGCTCGTTCAGACGAAATTTTGTTAATGGGCCGACGCGACGTGCCGAGTCATCAAGTGTCCTGGAAGCGGCCGTCTTTCCAGATTAATTCTAACCGATAACGGCGAGTTGATGCCATCTCACGCATTTCACGATGTAATAAGTATTATTACGTCTCTGCTCAAAGTGACCTTAAGAGTTATCTGCTTCCTTTTACGTAGCTTTTGATTCAGGCTGATTTAGAAATAATTGTAGAGAACCGCGCTTATATATACGTGACTAACTATAAACTACATTCTTTTTTTTGTATATTTAATATTTTTTTATATGCGTAAGTATCCGACGAATAAAGAAATAGAACGGACATTTTATATTCACGATTACTTTTTATATTACGAAAAAGTGCATTTTATATTGTGTGTCATTACATTTACACGTATTTTGTAACATTTATGTTGAAGAGGTACTAAAATAGGAAAAGCATCATTAAAGTTTTACAAAGAGTTTTTATTTCTGCAAAAATTTTGTTTTAGAGAAAATTATTTAGATAGGCGCGCCTTTTGATTTATCGGATTTTTCGAACATTTGTCACAGGTAGCGGTAAAAAGGCCGAAGATGGGGAAGGCACGTCCATCACGAAGTAGAAGAAAATTAAAAGGATCTCACGAACTCAAAGTGTCTTCTGAGATTACTTTGAAAGAACTCAAAGTAATGGTAAGTGTCTTGTTAATATATTTAGCTACAACACCAATTTCAATCTTTAACTACCCCATGAGATAAAATACAATCGAAAAAATATGTTTGTTTTTATCACGGCGATGTATCTCCAATTTCGGATAAATTTCAGACTTCTTTCGTTCTATAGAAAAATTGTATCCGATATAGATTTAAAAGGCTCTAAAAATCATCAAGAGAAATCATTAGTGGCAGCGGTGACAATCGTCCGCGTGACAGAGAGCGAGATAGCTGCGAGAGAGAAATCGGAAAAAGTCCATCCGATATCTTGATCTGTTTGCACTCGCCACCTGCCGAAAGCGGGCTATCCCGGGATAATCAATCAATTTGCGGCGCAAGTATTTTACGGCGCTTATTGTTCGAACCGAAATGGGAAGAGACGCGTTTGCCCGAACCCGGCCGCTATCCTTCGGCCTGGCTATCTCCGGTCCGGTTGCCCGGTTCTCCGAGACTCCGTGGTGGACGAAAGAGTAGTAAAGCGTAGTTATGGCTGGTTAGCATATGCTCGGGCTCCGGCAGTGTGCTTAAACTATTAAGCGTATTTATATTGCGAGGCCGTAGCCATCTCCTCATCCTCCTCCTCCTCCTCCTCCTCTTCCCCGCCTTTCCTTCCTGACGGAGCCACTGGCAAAAACTCGAAAGAGCATAAACCTCGCGCTAATAACAGGTCTCCAACTTCTCCACTCCACTTCACTCCACTTCGCTCCACTCAACCTTCCATTTGACTCTTTCTCCCGGCTCGGTCTCTCTCTTCATCTCGCGTGTCTCTCTCTCCGTCTCACACACGCGCGTGCGATACTCCTCTCTATCTATTCACCACGAGCACGGAGGAGAGCTCGAATTTTTGTTCGTGCCTCTTTCACCCCGTGGAACACACGTCCCCTTTTAATACCCGCCCGCGAGAGCGGCTGTCGGCGTCAATGGAAATACGAGGCCCCGTCTCTTCTTCTCATTCACTGTCGCTCCCCTTTTTTATAGCTCTGTGTCTTTCGACTTGATTTCGTCTCTCGTTTGACGAAAGTCAATAATCCAAATAAATCATTCGATCGGGCTTCAGATACTTATAACTCGTGAGAGTCTAAGTCTTATCAGTAATGTTAGGAGAGAAAAAAAATGATACACTTTGAAAGCGCGCAAATGACGTTTTTGTCTCATTGGAAAATCCCGAGGCGGCGTCACGATTCAAGGGTGTCACTGTTCGCGGATTGGTTCTCGCGTCTGACAAAAATGCGGGCGAGTCACGCCGCTCGCTCGTTGCCTTTTTTTTTACCGTCGTGCAAAAAGCACCGCCAATAAAAATATTTGAGTTTCATGGTCGAATGCAGTTATGTCGCGGAGCTAGCGGGCAAGCGAATCGGGACAATAGCGGCTAGAGCCGCTGATCTTCGCCGGGCGCGCGGGCAAGCTTTACGTAATCGCGCCGGTGTAACGCCTATGAAGTGGCCTGCCTGTAAATATTACTTTCCAGCACATTCCGTGTCACCAGTTCGATTTTTTTTCTCTCCCCGCGTTGCACGGTACCGCTCGATCGCCTTTCTTACTCTCATTGCGCCGCGGCACGGACGCAATGGCCATCGGGACGAAAAAACGTTCGTCCACGCGGATAGCTCGTTCACGGGAAAATTACGGCCGAGCAAAAAACGCGGCCGAACAGTCCGCGTCGCGGATTTTTCACGGATAGATTGGAAAGCAAATCGCAGAAGTCGTTGAAGAGGGAGAGAGAGAGAGAGAGAGAGGTCCTGGAAAGCTCGCGTTATCAATTGCAGCTGTCCGTGAGATTACATCCCGTGAGGTAATCCGTCGCGGCTTCCGGACGAGCGACACGTACGCGGCAGGCGCGACGCGGCTGTCAGGATCCGTAAATATCAGAAGTTTCCTCAACCTCCGGGGGCAATTTGGCCTCCCGCCGCCGCTTCGCAACCTTGTTAAACCCACCTCTATTTATCGCGCCCGTTGGGCGCCTTCCTTTAACGAGGAAGCCTCCGCGAGGTTCCTTGACCCTGATCGCCTCTTCTTGTTTCCCCTCGTTCTCATCGTTCTCTCTTCAGTTGTACGAAGTCCGGCAAGACATTTACGACACGTGCAGGATACGTTCTGACGTAACGTACACTGTCGATCCAGCGACAAGTAACATCTGCGACGACTCTACGGCTCCGTTTACGTTACTTTCAGCGGGGAATAATTTGACGAAAAATGATTGTTGTACGCCCAAACGCGCGCAACGCGAGCGCAATCGTGCGTGATGCTCGTAATCGTCTTTTTGTACACGACGCCCGCCCCCTTAGTCGCTTTCCGGCGCCCTCGCGATGCCTCTTCTCTCGCGTTCCTCCTCCCGGGGCTTCTTGGCTCGGCTCTCGGCTTCAGTTCGACTCGACGATCGTAAAACAGAGAAACCGAGCTACACGTTCTCGCACCGACGCCGTGGACAAGCCAGCAGCGCAAGCTGTATCCCTCCACGCAACATTACGCGGGTTCCACAAATTAAGCAATTACCGAGGCTCACGCTCGTCTCGCGCACTCTCCACTTCTAGAATCTGAAATAGCCCCCTCTCCCCTCTCCCCTTTCGTTTTTCCGCACGGCCGCAAACTTCGCTCTTATACGAGTACCTTCGCGTTCGTGTATTGAAATACATTTCAAATGTCTTCGGGCGTAGCTAATCCTGACGGGAAACAAAAGTATTATGCATCGATTTCTCAACGGAAATAATCACGTTTACCTTTCTGAAAAGACTAATTATCCACGATCGATCGATATACATTTGAAGAAACCGATGAAATCGTTTTCTTTTGTTAAATTATAACTCGGTTTAATTGCACCGGTAAATAAGATGGGAAAATTCTGCTTTCTTTCAGACGATGCAGATTTGTGGAGCTGGACCGTACGACCAGCATATAATGTTAGGAGAACACGAACTCATCGACGATAATCTGAGCTTGGCGGCACTCGGAATATTTCCTGGAGCTTTACTTACGTTAAAGGTAAGTTTCGATTCAAGTCAGCTATATTTTTCTTTTACTTTTTTTTCTTTTATCTCATATCTTTTTCTATAACCAGATATTAATAGCAAATTAAACAAAGATTAAATCAGGAGAAATAAAAGATATGCGAAATGAAAGAAACTAATTTGCGTATTTTCGAAAATCTTACCGCTAGAAATCTTTTTTGCAAAATTATTTGTATATAATTATAAGAATTCAGGGACACACAGCGTGCGAATGTCCTTCTCGAGATCAATGAAGCGTACACTCGTTAAGTTTACGTTGTTATAAATCTGCTTTCACACGCAGCGGCATGCATTGATGCGTGCAGATCTCCGCGTTATGAAGAATAGAAGCACTCAGGATTCTACACTTTATCATTTAATGTTTTACGATTCATCCCGTCGCGACGCGGCGCGGCGCCTCGATGGCCCGCAACGACGTCTCGATTGTCGTTACAACGATACGTTTGTTCCGCCTGACTAGCCGGACAGTGACAAACAGATGCAATTTAGATTTAAGATCTAGCCACTGTTTCCCTTAAGTTCGAGACAATGGATAAGTAACCGGGACCGGCAATGGCCTCCCCCTAGATAACGACGCCAAGACCAGCGTTTTCGCGCGCCGGGATTAGCCGAAAATGCCTTATTTGAGATTAGAAGTGTTAAACTGTGCCCTCCTAGCCTCGGGAGAGCGAAGTCGTTAGAAATTGCAGCTTACCCGAGGAGAAGCTCACACTCCTCGGCGAATCTACCGGTCGCTACTAATTCCGCCTGTAAGCGCAAATAAATTTTAAACTCGTTCCATATTCTTTGCCGATGAATCGCACGAAAGTTTTACTATTATAGTTTTGCTAGTTATCGTTGTTAACTTGCAACTTTATCGCCAATCAGGCCCCGGGTATCCGACTTGATTTATACGCGAGAAACGTGCGACAATGATATCGCGTCTACACGTTTATCCATGCCACGTTGTTTTCGCACTCCTCGTGCGGAACGCTCTCGTCCAACCCTCGCGGGTTTTTGTCGAGAGCCAGCCGTCTCAGCGAAAACGGCGGCGTCGCGGAGGAAAAATTCTCGGTGCTCTCTCTCGTTCGGCGGAATATAATTCCAGGATTCCGATACATTCCTCTCGGTTCACAGTCGACTGACTTTATGAAAGCAACCGGCGAGCTAAGCTCAGCGTGCGCGCAGCATCAGCGACAGAGAGTCTCAAAAACCGTTAACCCAAGTCGCGCTATCCTACGTTCAGAAAGAACAAAGAGGGCAGGAGGGAAAAAGGGAGAAAAAGGAAGAGAGAGAGAGAGAGAGGAAGCGAAGGAGACGCGGCCTCCTCGCTGGACTGGACTGGTTCACCGGTTGCGGTTTGCACTAGCTGCGAATTCTAATTGCTGTCTTGCCTCCGGAGAATCCAGTTTAGTCAACCTACCGACGTTTCCACCGATTGAAACGCTTCGATGGGTTTTGCGGTTTTCAGAAAAATTTCTTCTCGCGTCCCATCGCGCTGATTACCGCCGACGTGACAAAGTTACACGACAAATGGCTTATCATTCCGGTTTTTTTTCCTCTTTTCGAACAATACATCAAGTCCCGATCGAATCGGTCGTAATAAAAATGTCCTGACTTTCGCTCCGCGTTTTGTTCTCACACGGATCTCTCGCGGTTCGTGTAATTGCTCCGGAATTCTATATGTATGTACGCTCGACGAAACGGCGGCGAGGAACTGTCGATTCTCCCGTGGTCGGGAATATAACGACGGTGATAAATCCCGAGGCACGTCTAGCTGCTTTTAACTATCGTTAACCATAACGTGACTGAAAAGTACATAACGGGCGGGTAATTATTTGCGGTTATGCGAATAACCGTGGGGCCCCGACTCCCGATGTGCAAGAAGCTCTCCCTCGAGAACGAGATTGTTTCGCGAAATCTTCCGTCGTAAAATCCGCTCGTTCGCCGGACGACGAACTTAATGCGACTCAAAAGCATAATGTATAATCGCATAAACCGGAGTTAGGCCGTTCCGATCGGCTGTTCCCGTAACTTAAACCATATCGCTTAGGAGAGACTGCAATCTTTCTTGGCCAATCGCTATACGTTCTGTTTAGCCTGAAATTCTTGCGATTGTCGAAGTTACTTAATTTCGGGATACATGTATACGTACACGTAAAACTGTTCTCGAAGCCCCAGGAAAAGTTTTAATTTCTTATTTAGTCTAATTTCTAAAGAAACTGCAAGAACACAATGGATTAAAAACTCTTCCGCTCCTATTAGACCTGCCTCGCGATATCAAACGATATGTCGGAATTGTCAGGATACTCTATCTGCGGCGGATAGACCGGATTAAAGCGTTTCAGGCAAGGTTAGTCCTTGATTTTGCTACCGGTCCGGCACCGTGGCACGCACAATGATCAGGATGACTTGCGGCGTAGATCGGTGATCGAGTGTCTCGCGAAGATATCAGCTACCGCTCCGCTCCGTCATCGTCCGTGCAATAATTCAAGGTCGTCGAAGTACAAAGTTAATATATCTTGCCACGTATCTACATTATATCACTACCTTTTTTTTTTCGGTCGATCCGGTCGACCGAAGGAGATCAACGACATTACGTCGCGCGAGGTCGATCGTCTCTCTCTTTTCTTTCATGTCACTTTCGCTCTCCCTACCGTTCCCTTTCCACCATCCGGTTTGTTTGCGCGCTTTTATGAGCGCGTTACACGTCATGATTAATCGATCTTTCTTCGTCGCAAATGGATCTCTCTTCCAAGTAGTCGTTGTATTCGGTCTTAGTTTACGCGCGCCGTGAGTGTTGCAGCTTTCGAAGCTCAATTGTAAATTGCGTTCGAAATTCTTGACGCAGCTTGACAAGGCGGATCGCATTTTTGTCCGATCGCGCAATTCGCGCGTACCTCTAGTACCGACAAAAAGTGAACCGTAGTCGTCGCGAGAGCGACACGCGTTAGAGATAAAGATATTAACCAACGGCATGCGTCGAGCTATAATTAACGCACGCCGCGACGAGATATTAATGAAGACACGTATACATTCGCGTTTTCGCTCTGATGAAATAAAACGTCGTAATCGAGGACAAGGACGATAAAGGGGATAAAGAATAGCAACAGAGTTGCGCACAATGTCGGAGTTGGCTAGACTGTTTTTGATCCACCCTTAATTTTTCCCGATTTTTTTGCAATTCCTCGTCAGAGGCTGCTCTTCATGGCTGATCGACCGGGGTCTTTAGAGTCGGTCGGTCGAGTCTCCAACGGGCGGCACCCGCGTTTGATGTCGTGTGACGAATGTCCGCGTTGGACGCGCTCGCCTTCCTCCTCCCTCTCCTCTTCCTCCCGCCCTCCCGTCCCCGTTTCCCCTCCTCCCTCCCCGTTTTCTATGCTCCTCTTTCTTTCGTACACCCGTGTTTCGTTCTCGCGCTCTCCCTCCCGCCCTCGTCCATTCTGCGATCCTTCCATCTCGCGCGGTTCATCCCGCTTCTCTCGTACAAGAGAGAATCCCGTATGACGGACTCGGTCGAGTCTCTCCCTTCAGGAGCGCCAACAGAAAATTGGAAACATCCGATAGGGCCCCGCTACCGCGGCCCACGATAAAAAGGTACGTGCCGCCGCGCCGCGTCGGAACCGGCCCGCAAAATATGCCGATCCGTCGTGGGTCCACGCGGAACAGCCACGCGGTCGGGCCGCTATGCGCGCTTCGCAGACCTATAGATTTTCGCAATCTTGTATCTCCAGCCGGATGTTTCGCTTTAACTCACATTTCGTCGATTTTAGAAATTAATTACTTTCTCGATTAAATTCCCGCCTCCCTTAAATCCTCATTATACGGAGGATTAAAAATAAAAATACGATTCGTGGTAGTAACGAGCGAAGTTGAATTTCTGTGACGCGCGATTTGGAGCTGAAACGTAGCGAGTATGTACTTGCTAGTAAGTAATAATTAATCATAATCAGTGTAAATTACGACTGGTTTAACAATGTCGAATACAACGTTACCCTATTATATAAATGTCGCTCGTTCCATCGACTTACCCGCCGATTCCTCCTTTACGTTTGTCCTCCTGCTGGAAAATGGACACGTGTTTATCCTTACTTTTTCCTCTCTCCGCTCCTTTCTGTCCGCTATGTATCCTACCGACAAACGAGAATCCCGTTTACACGAGAGGTTGAGAGCAAGACTGAGTCCCGAGTTCTCTCCAATGAACGACAGTAAATGTGCCCTCTCGTGCAGGTAATGGCGACAATTATCCGCGTCGGTGAACTCGGCATTAAAATCGAATCATAACAACCAGGCCTGACCGGCCGAAAAGTTACCTTTCTGATTCAGTGTGCTCTTCGGTCTTCAAGTTCCATAAATCCTTATTGAGTCTTCCTGTATAAACCGCAAAATGACCATACTCATGTAATAGCACTAGATGCGTTCGGTGTCTTCGTCACTTTTTTATGATTATTTTTCTCCCCGTTACATTTTTGAGAAAAATAAGTTATTTCGAAATACATCAAGGAATAAAAAGAAAAAGTCGGATGATTAATAAGAAATCATACACGACGTACGTGACATACGTGGCACTGACGAAGTTCTCGCCACCGCAAGGCTTTAAGAAATTTATGCCGTTTTATATAAAATTAATGCAAATATGTTTCTATACGAAGAATGTTAAAGCAAAATAACTGAGAAACGAGCGTTGTGAAAAATTTTAATCGCGTGCTATTGACACTTAACCTTTCCGCGCGGCATGTACCGCGCTAATAACTAAGTGGCGGATCTAATGGGCTTTTAATTACTTGCCTTGGATTCGTAAAAATTCACAACTTTTGTTCTCTTTGCGTCGATTTATCGGAAGGTTGTGTCATTGCATTTACATCTATCGATTTGAAAAAAAATTTACGAGTCTTTTAAGGACACACACTATAGACGCGCGCGGCGACGTTGAGAAAAAAGAACTCGACGTTTGCGATCAGATCGGAATGGTCGTCCGCGGCCGGTTACAATGAC